AGGCGAGGGTGGCGAAGACGGCCTCGTCGAAAAAATCCGGAAGCGCTACATAGGCGACAACCTGCCACGCCAACCCACGGAGTACAACGGTGCGAAAAAACGACGCGCTGCACGCAAACATTGTGGACTCGAGGTGTTCGAGACCTTGCGAGGACTGAAGACAAAGTCGGCTCCGGGTCCGGATGGCGCGTCACCAATAAGATGCTGCGACACCTGAGCGACAACACCGTTGCGGGCATAACGAAGTATATGAACGCGTGCTGGAGCAGGGGCTCTATCCCACGGCAATGGAGAACGGCCAAGGTGGTCATGATTCCGAAGCCGGGGAAAAAGCCTCAGCTTGACGCGTTGCGCCCGATTTCGCTTAGGTCATGCGCCGGGAAGTTGATGGAACACGTCATCCTCAGAAGAATCAACGGCTACATGGAAGACAACGAGTTGTTCCCGCACACCGTGGTCGGACTCAGGCCGTTCCTGTCCACCGAAGTCCTCCGGCTGAAACACCAGATCATCGATGGAGAAAAGAGCTCGCACCTCGACTCCCGCGTGATCTGGGACTTGGACCTCACTAAGGCCTTTGACAACATACGACACGACGCCGTGCTCGAGAACTTAGAGAAGCTGGACGTGGGTCGACGCACATACAACTAGATCTACGATTTCCTCAGCGACAGGACGGCGCAGATCTCCATCGGCGGCGTCACATCGGAAGAAATTAAGCTCGGTGGGCGAGGAACGCCAAAAGGGTCGGTCCCCTCGCCGTACTTGTTCAACGTGGCCATAATCGGACTACCCGCGTGGCTTAGTAAGACTAAAGGACTCTATCACAGCATGTACGCCGACGACATCACGCTGTGGATGACTGGCGAGTACATTCAGGACACGTTACAGGAAGCGATCCGAGTAGTAGAAGAATACATCACCCCGGGGGGTCTCGCGTGCTCCCCGCAGAAGTCGGAGCTTCTGCACCTCAAGCCGGCCTGGTTGAGACAGTTGCCGTTCGACATCAAGCTGCACTCCCACGGGCTGCGCATTCCGACGGTAAAGAGCATCAGGGTACTATAGGCCTGCAGGTGCAGGCGGACGGCCACAACAGCGAACTGAGAGCGTCGCTGAAGGCGTCCACGTACCAGATCATAAGACTTATCGCACGCATCTCGGGCAGGGACTTCAGGATGAAAGAGAAAAATCTCGTGCGCCTGGTCCATGCTTTCGTCATGAGCCGGCTGGCATACGTCGTCCCTTTCCTGAAGCTCGGGGTCGCGGAAAAGGGCAAGCTAAACTGTTTCGTCAGAAAGGCTTTGAAGCGAGCACTCGGCATCCCGGACTCGGCGTCCAACGAGAAACTGGCGGTGCTGGGCCTATGATTCCATCGAATAGATCGTCGAATTAAGCACAAAGGGTGTCGCAACTCGAGCGACTCACGAAGAGCGCGACGGGAAGACACACACTCAAGAACCTTGGACTCCGCTACGAGTCCCAGACCGGGAAAAAGACGGATGTCCCCAAGAAGGTCAGATAGGCGTTGGACATTCCTCCGCTACTGCGGCACATGCACCCTGAGCATGATGCGGAGCGAAGAGCGGCCAGGACCAGGGCCCTACGGAAGACTCAAGAACGCAGAAGACGTCGTCTACGTGGACGCGGCGAGGTTCGCCGAGGGTCGCGACATCATGGCGGCCGCCATGGTCGACAAGCAGGGCAAAATCGTGGTAAGCTGCAGCGTCAGGACGCCGGAGCCAGAAGTGGGTAGGAAGTGGCCATAGCCTTGGCCATAAGGACTCAGCAAGTCAAGATCGTCGTTAGCGACTCGCAGACGGCGATGCACAGTTTTGCGAAGGGGAGGATCTCGCCGGTAACGCGTCGCGTGCTTGGCGACCTCGCGACACTCCACAGGGTGGAGCTCATATGGACACCAGCACACTCGTCACTTGCCGGCAACGAGGAGGCAAACGACGCTGCCCAAGGTTTGACTCGCCGGGCCGGCATAACGTCAGAACCCTCCAACGAATCGTGGTCGGGAAAAGACAGGCTGGTGACCTTTCTCGACATTCTGGATCACTATGCGAGCGAGCGGCTGCGGTATCCACCGGCACTCCTCTCACTCGACAGGAAGCAAGCTACGGCGTGGAGAAGACTCCAGACGGACACCTACCCTAGCCCAGCCAAACTGAGCCGAGCTGGTATCCGGATATATACAAGGGCAAATGCAAGCTGCGCGGTGGACGGCCGGGCTAACCTTCGATCACGACATGGTTTGGGAGTGTAACAGGATCGACAGACAAGCGCAACCACTACTGGAGCAGATACCAACCTAAAGAGGTGGGAAGCTATCCTGCTTAGCCGACCCCCCCCGTGCAAACCGAAGTCGTCCGACTGGCCAAAGACGCCGCCGGAGTCTAAGGGATTCTAGCCGTCGTTTGAGAGGGGGTTGGGAGGGGATCCCCTAGGGGGTCCTCGACCTTCCTCTGATTTCTGGGCGCAATTAAAGTCAATCAATCAATCAATCAATCAATCAGCTGTCCACTTGTGGTGTTCATAAAAAAATAAAGTGTGAACCTTATCAAGCTTCAAGCTTAGCTACGTGAACCTTCTGTCGTCCTAATAGGGCACATGTCTTGTTGGAAGTTGCTCTATTCTGAAAACTTTTACATTTAGCCTCCATCCTTGGTCCTTAATAGTCCCTTCTTTAACTCTAGATCCTGTTCTGCGAATGAAATGCGCAGGTTTTTTGTCCCCTTCGGGAGACCAACCTCACGATAGAGACGTCATAGCTGTTTTGGGAACGAAGGTTGCACACGTAGGTTATTGTTTCCGCTACTGTTTTTTTTTTTTTTTTTCCCACAAATAGCATTATGTGTTTGAGTGCTGCCCCTCGAAATCTCCCACTCTTCCACCGAGGTAAGCACATTCTATTCTCCAGGTGTGTTCGGGAGTCACGTAATATTGTTTTGTTTATACATATTTATCTCCCCCAGCTTGTGTTTTCCGAGGTGTTTTCTTCCTTAAATACAAATCACCGTTGGTTTTTGTATGTGCTCGAATATGTACCTAAATTAAGAAAGTTATTCAGTCTTTTTATTACCATTAATTCCCATTGCAATCGTACTTTAACAAATCCCCTACATTAAAATGCATCGCACTGCTCATTACAGCAACACGTTATTTAATTACTGCAATTTTGTTGCTCTAATGAAATTACCATAATTCGTCTATCACTCGAATAGAAGCCTATATAAACAGTGTTTCGTGACCTTCAATTGGCATGTTTACGCTTTTAGGCCATTAAAAAAAATATCTTAGCAATGTATATGTGATCTGTTTTCTGGTTCACTCTAGGTTAGGTATATATGCATTCATACTTTTAAAGGGTTTGATGCGTGTATATAGGTGTGTGTGTTGCTTTCTCGAGTGTGCTGTGGTGTACCACCGGGAAGGCAAGTTGCTGTTGGTGTAAATAAATAAACATAAACATTACAGCAACTTCATTACTGGCACTTCTGAGTCGTAGCCGCTACATTTTTCCGCCAAGTGCGATTGATCTCGTCAAAAAAAAAAAAAAAAAAACTCACTCAAGAGCCTGCCCCCACCAAAAAACAAGTAAATGCCTTCCAGGTAACGAAGGATTGTTTTACGTCATTGAGAGGAGACCACCGAAAGACACATATATCGTTCCGTTAGACCTCATGTCCAATCAGTAAAGACACGAGCCCCGGCCGAATCCGAATGCTGACATCGCGTAGCACCCGTCTTAGTTTATTCTAGATCAGTGTTGGTGGCGTTACCAAAAGAAAATTATACAAGCTTGATCATGCTGACAAAGGCTGTTAAGCACAAAATGTGTCATAGGCCTTTTAGGGAAGAAGAGAAGGTCGTGTGAACGGCAGCGGCTACTGAGGATTCGCTCTCATTTTTTTTACACACGCCTTGAGAGTCAAGCGAGACGGTGGTTAATTTCATTTCTATGTAAATAAAACATTTCAGCGCGGAAGCGCGCAAAAACCGCACCTTGACGGAAAAAGATTGTTTTTGTGCCTTCGAACGACGACCCTGGATAGCTCAGTCGGGAAAAAAGTAAAACAAAAAAGATACCTCAGTCGGCAAAGCGATTGTCTCACAATCTGAAGTTTGTGAGTACAAATTCTTCCGGGGTACGGAAGCTTTTCTTATTTTATATATATGGGCGTTTTTCGGGGTCGGTTTTTTCGTTACAGTCGGCTGTCTTATTCGGCCCCGTTACAGCCCAACGTTATTATAACTCAATAGAAATTGGCTGATAAAACAAGTTCTGTGTTAAAAGTAACAAAATATTTTAATAGCTCTTGCCAATAAAAGGCACGCGTTACCGATCTCCGTTACATCCATATAAAAGGAGCGCGTTACAGATAAAAAGTAACGCACGTTACCTCCGCGTTACTGCAGTTCCCGTTACCTGCCATCGACGGCGACCGCGTTATTCCACACTGGGAGAAGGGACGGAGGCGTTGGGGTTTTCCTAAAGTGGGAGTGTTTACGTGGGGAAAAATGGAGGCAAAATTGGAAGGTGTGTGGGATGACTGCAAGAATAAAAATTACTTCATACGCAGAAACACGCGTGAGAAGTGACTGCGTTACGCGGTACTCGTAGTAAGTAACATAAGTGCGTTATTTGTTACTGTTTCGAAAGAGTACCGAGCACGTTACTACGTTACTGAACAAAGTAATTCGTTAGAGTTATACGCCGTTAGTAGAGTTCGTCGCAACTCAAGACTGTAGGGCGAGAGAAAGGAAAGCCGGGGAGGAGGAAGTAGAGGGAACGCTGGAGAGGAGAGGGGGAACCTCCTCCTCGCTCCAGCGTTCCGTCTCCTTCCCCCTTTTCGGCCTTCCTTTCCCTAACCCTACCTTCTTGAGTTGCGACATAGTATAGTGACCAGTTACCAAAAAGACCGACTGGGAATGTTCCGGCAAAGACAGCCTGCGCCGCTCTCCCTCTAGATAAGATTGTGTCTGGAAATCATTGTCCGTAATCGGTATGCAGCCCGGCTATCTGGCACCGCGACCAAGGAGCGGCTCTACATAAGGCAGAGCGGTGCTCGAGTATCCACGATTCAGTCATGGAGTTCGAGACATTCTTGAAGGTGGTCACCCTCCTCTTCGGCACGTTGCACCTTCAGCCAGGTACGGTAGTCACATCTCCAGACTTGTACGGCTCTGATCACGAATAACTAAATTACTCGGAATCGATTACTTTTTACGGTAATTTTGTGTTTGTTCGATGACCTTTACTAGGTACCAATCGCTAGGGTAACCTGATTACTTTCGAAAGTAATAAAATTACGCGTAACCGCTGCTACTTTTCCCTCCGCTTAACAATGGCGCCCATTGTTTTCACAACCTTGGTACCAAGGAATCCTCGAATCAAGTCTCCGACAGTGGAAAAAAAATCTATAAAATATATTATAAATTAAAACAAAAAATATTAGTTTGCAGCACGGTAATTCTCATCCTGTATTGCACAATACCGAAGGCCCGTTTTCAAACCGGCAGAAAAGATGTCCTTTTTGACGATGCTCGGTCGGCTCTATCAAATCGCAGCCTTGGCCGCGGTCCGACTGAGTGTGAAAGAACGCAGTAAACGGCTAGTATATAGTCTTTCCTCTGCGAAGCGAATTAGTAGCTCGTGTACAACTCACCTGAGCATATACCAGATAGGAAACTGAAAACTGCGCCCCCCCCCCCCCCCCAATCCCATATCTAAAAAAAAAAAAAAAAAAAAAAAATAGAAGCCATTCACGCATCGCTTCCTATACGGAGAGCAAGTTCGTCTGCGTTTTTTGCAGGGGTTGTGGTGTCGTCAGAACGCCGAGCTCTGAATGATTCTGATTGAAGGATAGGGGGTAGACCTCGAAGCAAGCTGCCTTGAGGTCTACCCACAATCCTTCGTTCAGAACCAATCAGAGCTCGGGGTCTTGCTGACGTCAAGTCAAAAGAAGCAGACGAACTTCCATCAGCATCACCGCCAGCGCGTCTCGCAGCTTTTCGCAAGAAGCGCGAGACGCTAGCACTCGGCGACGCCAACACGCGGTGACGCCAAGACAGGCGTCGCGTCTTTCGTCGATGCTTCAGCATATTTGCCGCTCGGGGTGGGTCGCGGGGGTCCACTCATGATGACGTCATACGGGGGGTTCTTGTTGATGCCTTCTAAAAGAAAAAAAGAAAAAAAACAACGAGAGAGGCACACCCAAGGGCTGTGACGTTTAAAACAATAGGACAATTTGTTCGTGACTTTATCGGAGATTAAAGGGTTTATCTTTCATTTGTTGTCGCTACAGATTTTTTATGCGTTTTTCTTTTCTGTCGCCTAAGCAGGTGTTTTAGATGTCCAGTGTCAGCATGATTTTTCAATAGGGCCGTGCATCCAGCTCAGTATCTTATGTTGTGAAACGAGCCGGAAAAAATCGGCGCGCCTGCATATGGAAAGCTCAATCTTTCTCCGAATGCGCATTGAGGTAATGCATTTTACTTTGTGGAATCTTAAGGCATAGTTCACTTCCTGTGGGAAATGAACTAGGCCCACAAAGTTGCTAAATTCTACGGCGGACGTGTTTGCGGATGACTGAGCTTACGACAAACGTAACTTGTCGCGCCATCTCCCGATAGCGCGGGGAGCAGACAAGAGGCAGCGTCGTCTGCTCGCTGCGGCTATCGGGATGCTCCGTCGGGAACGCAGACAAGTCCCAGAGAAATGGAAATGTTCTCTCCGAGCCATGATTTTCAACTTCGCACAGTGCGAATACTTCGTGGATTTGTACAGCCGCGTCGCCAAAAGTTCCGATGCTGAAGGCTATGTATTCCTCTGCGTAATCACGCGGAAGAATATCAGAAAGGTCTTTCAGATGCGAGCGACACAACAGTGGCGCCACGCAGCGGCTCCTAACAGACGCATATTGCATAGATATCCTGCGTATCGGCCGACCATAGTTTTGAAGCAAAGTCAGCTTACCTGAACACAGTGTTGTGCAAAGCATTCGAAAGCAGAGCCGCGGTTCACATTTGTGGAAATTATGGAAATTTTCACAGACGTGGAAATTATGGAAATCGTCTCAATCCCAGTACGTTTACTCGGGCCACCAGCGAGCACAAAGAAATCGGATGACAACCTAAAATTACTTCTCGTACAGACTTTATCCCTTAGCAGCGCTGCTGAATGTTCAAATTGCAGGGGTTTTATTATATATTTTTTTCTTATACGTTAAATCTTTAGCCGATATTTCGAAAACAGTAACCACTATAGACCGTTCCATTAGAGTCATAGCGGAGAAGGTAAAAAGAGAAAAAAAAAATGACCTCCCCTCTCACCCGTATGTCGTCTGCTCCGCCGAGTGGGCAGTACCTAGCATCGGGCTGGCGTGCAAACTGTTTAAAATCACGTCATTTTGGAAATTTCAAGCGCAGATGCGCGGATTTTGGTATGCCAGTTATCGTGTATTATTATGCTAGATAAAAAGACTAACAGAGTCCAATTGCGCTGTTATCTGCGTGCAAATAAAAAAAAAAATAGAGAAAACTGTGTCAGACTGGCCGGTCTCTCCGGCGAAAAGTGAATCCGGTGGCTGTACCTTTTTTACTATACAGAGTTCGTACTGGTGTAGGCCTTTAGCGACCATGAGTGGATGTCTGAAATAATAAATAAAAACGTGCTCTCCTGCCGCAATACACGCAGTAGTTGATGGTAGTACTGCCGGCTGACTCAACTGCTATTTAAGTAACGGAAAAAAGATACGTGAGTTGATCTTTTACCGAAGTAGAACAACAGAGAGCTCTAGGCTGATTTTGGAGTAGCCATAACTATTCTAAGAACGCGAACCACTTTACAACGGCAGCCACGAGCGAGAGTTCGATGTTCCGTACAGCCCGCCGATACAGCCCAAAGATGGAGAATGGCAACCTCCCGTCTTGTCGTCTGCTAGCGGAGTCGGGCGCGTGCACTCTCTCTGGTTTTACCCCGCCGAACCCGCTGAATTTCCCGGATGTATGGAGAGGGCGCTGCTGTTGAACAAAAATGGTGCCGCCCAGAGAGCGCTAAATGGAATGGTCTATACGTCGAAGTAATACTGATTTCAAAGTCACCCGGAAGTTACTAAATCACGAAGAAAATTTCTGCGTCAGCGTACGGCACGGGACATCTGTTCTCGCTTATAGAACCACTGGAGTACCACCCTAATACAAGGATATAACTTGTATACGAAATTGCTTTGTCCAATAAGTGGATATGTTCAAATAAGATCATATATGAGCATACAACAACCTTATAAGAACATATAAGAACAATATAAGATTATATAAGAAGTTATACGAAACTTCTAAATATTTTCTTATGACTTCTTATATAATCGTATATTGTTCTTATATGTACTTATATGGTTCTTGCATGCTCTTATAAGATCTTATTTGATCGTATGCGTTTATTGGACGAATAAATTTTTGATACATATGATTTTTCACCAGGCCAGCCGAACGCTGACTCGGCACTCGTGTCGAATTCTTCACGTTTGGGGGTTTTATGGGCTAAACCAACGAAGGGCATCTGGCACGCCCAGGCGAAAGAATGGGGAATCATTTAACCCGGGGTCCTCTTGACGTGCAACTTCTCCGCCATAAGCCTCCGTCAGATTGTGGGCTATCTCGACCGGCATTTGAACCCGCTGCCCTGGAGATCCTTAGGCCTCCAGTATAAGACGTATGACGTTCGATATACGGCCTTCTTATCTACAGGGGGCGTTGCTACAACACCCTTGAAGGGTGCAGGAGTGTCTAAATTTGTCCAACTCAGTGCCCTTGACCCCCCCCCCCCCCCCCCACCCCTTGTTCCCGCTTTGTCACCGGAGATAAAACGAACACGGAGACTGAGCTACTTGAAGATAGAAGATACTTGAGATTTGACATAAAGCTCGAAGTACAAAGGAAAAAAAGAAAAGATGAGTGCGGCACTGGCGCCTTGTTATCGAATCCGATATTGGCGTTGGATTCCGCTTATACATTGTTTTGGCGCAGACAATGGAAAACTTCGCAGAGTCCGAAGAGCGTATCCGCACTAAGCCAGAGCTACCGTAGATCATCCCCGAATGGAGGTCTACAACTGTAGACCTCCACTTTTTTTTCACAGAGTTAAAAAAAAATCAGTTTATGCTGTAGTTCGGTGCATTTTAAATGTATACACGATGCAATACAATAACAACGTGGTAGTATTTTCCGGAATATGTAGTCTGCATCCGGAAAAAAACAACACCTGAATTGTCTCATGCAATTTTAGGGTTTTCAACCTAAGTTCGCGGGAGAAAATTAATGTTAAAAGCTTTTCCCTAGAAAGTCCGCACCTAGTGCACAGTCCGTAAGTGTGGCGTAGTGCGCACGTAAAGATTCTTATGCACAGTACTCGTTGACAGATGTCTGCTTTATTGAGAAAGAAGATTGTGTCATGCAGAAACCATCAGCGTATTCGGTCACTCACAAAATTCATCAAACGAACCACACACAAAAAAAAAAAAAAAAAAAACCTGCAAAGTTTGCACTTTGTAAAATTCTAAACATGCGTGTCCGCGGATACGGAAAGTACGATATCCTGAATTGTTTCATATTGCTTAGCACAACGTGGCTCCCATGAGCGATTCCGGCTATTATTTGATATCTGCGCTCAATGAAACAGGGGATAATAAAATGTCTGCTTTGTGGCAGCTTTTTTGCGCGTGGCTGTCTCCGGGCTTACGTTCATTTGTTATTTTGATCGAAAAATTGTAGTAAAAAACGAACATACCCGCATGGGTCAGATAGTAAACCACTTAGAAAAAAATTGCGAAAATCAGCTTTGAGTAATACCAACCTGTAATTTACTCCAAAAGGGATGATTTGTTTATCAAAAATATTGACGGAAACACGGCTAAATCATAAGTTAGCACGAATTGAGGCTAGTTATAAACTTTCAGCTTTATAAAATTCAATATTCACACGTTTTTTTTTTTGGACAACTGAAGCATGAAATAGGCTTTCTGAAAATTTTGCATGTAATGACACATTATCTTTATTGAATAAGTGTTTAATCGAACTATATATTAATCAATTTATGCCTGTCAATTTGCCAGAAAGGGATTAGTAGCATGTCTTTCATTACGCTTTTTCTTGGTGTACTATATAAACTATAGACGTTGGATTTATAAAATTGTATTTCCTTTATAAAAACACTCATTAATGCACCCTAAATGGGTGTATAGAATTTTCAAATAAAAACGTTGTAACTAAATCCCTAAACCCATATAAGTTTTTCTTCAAGTCAGTGAAAAACTATTGAACGTTTAACTACAACGAAAATAAAATAAATAATAATAACGAGAGCAGTCAGAAAATTGTTTTCTACCTTATTGTTTCCGTTAAATAAATGTTAAAATGAGCCCACAAGTCGTTTTTTTTTTTTTTTTTTGCTTAAGTTTGAGATAAGCATGGCGCCCTGGGAAAGTTTTTGTTTTTTTATGTGTAACTTCAAATGAAGATAAGCGTTTGTCTTATATTTTTATACAACAAATCCCTCACTTAGCCTCGCTATCAAGGTAAATTAGGGTGTAGTGTTATGCAAAGTTGATCTTTTGGGACGTATTTGAAGTTGGTTGGATCAATCTGACCCTTACAGTTTTATGCTCTGAGATGGGTACACCATGCGTGGATAATCGGCTGTATCAAAAAAGAAAAAGCCAACTTGGACCTTCGAATATAATACTTTGGATTAAGCTGGTTGGTTCACCTTAATTTGAAAGGTTTAAAAGCACAAAAAACGTTTTCTGTTTAAATATATTCTTTAAGAATATATTTATCCCAAAGTACTTTTATTCTTCACGTATCTTTGTGTACTTAATGTTTAAATTGTGACCCCTCTATGCAGTTTTTAAAGGGGCTTTTTATTTAATAAATCATAAATACCCTGCATTTTGAAAAAAAAACTAGACGCGGAATTATGCATGTATATAAATATACCATATTGCCACGGTTTTTCTTAATTGTGACAAACTCAAGTCCAATAATGGCAATTATCAAGTGTCGGCGTGTAATTATTATGCTAATAAAGGAACAACTACCTGTGTTTAAACCAGCGACAAATATTGTATTTCCAGATGCGCGCGGCTTTATATGTCGAAACCAGATGCTACTTCTGGACCATCGTAGACATTCTATAATCTATATTATTCCAAAAGCTTTTTTTTTTTTTAATGCAAGAAAAATAAACATTTATTCTTGTTGGGAATGACAATGTGTACTTTTAGAGTTAACTTTCTTGGGGTTGGATCTAATCAGGCAAATGTTAATGTTTGCTAACAATCTTATCTCTGAATAGGTATATATATCCAGTTGTGATTTGATATGCCGGATATTCAATAAATGGTTAAAAAATAAGAGTTACCGCCATTCAAATATCTAAAATGTCTGTCACATATTTTCGACTTGGGATTTCAAAATATCGGATGTGGTGGAAAATACACCTCTATATGAGAACTATACCCGCTTTCACCTAAAAAACCGTAGTAAAAAAAAAGTCCGGCTCCTCACGGCGTATTACTAATTTCCCTCTTTATATTGATAGTGAAGATATTTGTAGGTGAATTTTTGATTAAGATGTATATGTGTTCTTATTAGGACGTACACGTTCCGAACGATAAAGGTGTCGCTTTTTCCTCCGTCAAAAAAATCTCGTCACAACTACTTCGCGCCGCGCCTGAACAATTCGCAAAATTGCTTTTTCTTGAAGTGAAAAAGGGGTGTTGTAGCTATAAAGGTTTTATAAAGGGAATAAAAGTGTTTTAGCGGTAAATCTTTTTTTAAGGAGTTTTACCGGAAAGTACACATACTGCAACAGCATAGTGAAGAAGCTGAAGTTACGTCAACACACCTTGAACTTACAGTTTAGTTACGCTATTGATGACAGGCAAGAAAGATATTTAATTAGAAATAAGATACTTAGGGTGCTTGCATGATAGTTCTATGAAAAAACTGAGGCACGCAGAATCTGAAATGGAATTTTTCCACGCTCTATAAGTTCTCCTTTATTATTTCTGTTTCAAATCTATTGGACAGCATTTACTGCTCAACTCAGGGAGGAAACTGAAATTGGTGTATATATGATTAACCCGTTCAATTTCCCCACTAGCCTTCGTGGAATAGCTTGAATTGTGTATGATTAAACACCATTACAGGTCTCACACAAAAAAGGTTGTGGGAAACCTGAACTGGCTTATATTTCGAGGCTAATAAAAAGAAGCGCGCAAAGCGTATCATGTAGGAAACACCTTAATTGGGCGTTTCTCAACGCGCTCTACAGCTTTACAATTGACCCCTCGGCTCTTAAACGATTAAAAAATATAGCTAATAAGTCTCAAATTCCCTTCAAACCTTCAAAGTAAACCCAACTATGTCACTACCTATTTCTCGCAAATGAATGTTCTGAGAAAAAAAAAAAAAGCAGTCGACATCGAAACCACGTGTACTACAACTTTTGTTCCCCCGCGTTTCCTTGACTAGCCTATGCGGCTGATGACAAGTGCGACCTCGTTGCAACGACGACGTGCCTCAAAGGATACATGATCGACATCAACAGCCACATGCACGACCTGGGAAATATGGAAACAAGCAAGATGGACGCATACATAGAGAATATGGAAAAGTAAGTTTAAACGTTTTGTGAGTGCGAGGGCAATTCTGGGGCAGCCATACAGTGAGGTCACGTGCGTTCGTTCGCCGCGGTCCAATGGCTACATTTAACCAGAAAACGTTTTCCGCTGAATTTAGTGGGAAGCGTCTCCCATCCAAATACAGAGGGAAAATCTGAATCGGCGCATAGTTACGCACACATTCTATTTCTTCGCTAAAGTTAGGGGGACGTTTTCTTGCTATATGTGAGGGTAAATTTGAATCGTGGTATAATTACGCAAACATGAAATTTGATCGCTAAACTCAGAGGAAAGTGTTTACCCTTTAAATCCGCCGAAAAGCAACAACAATAACAACTGACTTTATGTTACCGTAAGGGTGTTGTCCCGGAGCAATCTAGTCAACGTTTTCGTTTAAGGGCTGGATATTTTAGCATTGGCCAATAAAGTGAATTCTCTCTCTCTCTCTTCAGCATTGGTTGATACTGGAGCAGCAGCGTAAGCCATCAACGGTGTTTGCACATCATTATATAAAGTTTGCACATCATTATATAAAGTATAAAAAAATGAATACAGCAATATGCCCTTTGTACAACTCGAGTTTTCAGTCAGGGTTCATTGCATTACGTACTTGCTCGCATAAGATAATTCTCGTTTGGAATTTCCTTTCGAAAAATTCGACTATGGTTGACTATGACAATTCAGAAATATTTCTAAGTGAACTCATTGTTGCGGCACAGGACGGGCAGGAACCTTTCCGCACACATGCCAAGTACACTGTCATTATTATCAACATGACCGATTACTGCTGATGCTGTGAACCCTTCCGCTTCATTTGTTTCTAAAGGACTGGTACTTGTTCTAACGATCATACGTTTTCTAACTGTTACAGCACTGATTCAAGTATTGAAGTAGCTAATGTATCCGCAGAGTCAGTCTTAAAGGGGTACAGAAACAAAAGTTAGCTCTTAATTCTTTGTTGAGCCAGAAACTACGTTGTGTCAGTACCTTAGAAAAACCAGTCTTCCGCTCGTAAACGCACGAAAACTAATTTTAAAAAGAAGAAAACTATTTCTCAATACCACCTGGTATTGAGAAATACCCAGCGCCACTCACGGAAGTACAGCACAAATATACAGGGAGTTTCCGAGAGAAAAAGAACCGTGTTTTTGGCCCGTGGGTAACTAAACCATGCATCGCAGGAAGCTCAAACTCCGTGTTTTTTGCAGGTCGAGAGCTTACCCGGAGAAACCGAAGTGCTTCCGATGGTCTCACCACTGCGCGGAAAGCGCCACGAAAGAGTACTTGGACAGTGCAGCGTCGACCTACGAGATCTTTCAAAAAGTGATCGCCGACAAACAGGCCCTGAAATGTGAGGCCATTAATATCCCTGTACTGGCATCGCTAAAATATAGGATCGCATCATTGCAACTTCCCTTAGGCATTCATTTCACTGAAGTTATTTTTAGGAAAATGTCGGATTAGAGACCTCCGCTTATCTTATCCTTTCATAGAGAAACTCAGTTCCAGGAAAGTGGCGCCGAGCCTTCTCTTTGACAATTCGTTTTTTTGTGGAAACAGGGTACACCGAATTTTGATATTAATTCAAACCTTAGCTCGTTCGGCCGTTTTGTCTCGGCCGACGGCTGAGCCGAACCAGTCGGCGATTCAGTAGCTCGGTGACTTGGGCGGCCAGACTATGCCGAGGGCAAGTATCGTCTGCTACTTTTGCGGCGGTTGCGGACGTCAGAAAGGCGAATTCTGATTGGCTCTGAATGGAAGGATAGTGGGTAGACTTCAAAGGAAGCTTCCCCCCTCGTGGTCTACCCACTATTTTTCAATACGAGCCAATCAGAGCACGGCGTTCTGACGTCAACACAACCCCTGCAAAAGAAGCAGACGATACTTGCGCTCCGAATTCGAAGAAGTTTGTGCACGGTTAATTAAAACTTGTTGTTGGCCTAGTTGGTTCATGATGCAGTCTAGAGGTTTTTTGCGCGACACAAGGGACAATCACAAGTGCTTGTCCGTGTCTACTCGCTTGTGATTGTCCCTTGTGTCGCGCAAAAAACCTCTAGACTGTTTGTGGTTAAGATTGACAAGTTCTTATGTACGCCTCCCCGAAATCTTTAATTTTGCTGGAGCCTCCTCTCCCCCTCCCCTCCCCCCATAGAGCATTTTGTAAGGGGCGGGTCTCAGTTGAGAGTTATTGCTGCAGTCATTTTTATTGTGAATACAATGATCCCAGTGAGTGCAAGAGGAACTATAAATGCATTCGGGTGCATTTTGGTTTCATTGCGCCATAACCAAGTGTGCTTCATCAGCATTCATACTTACAAGGCATTAGACATACTGAGAACACCAGGGTTCGCAGTATAACCTGTCGACAACCACCAAACGCCTGATAGGTTACGGCTGCAGTCGTCTCGTTGCTTCGAATACAATGACCCGAATCCCGATGATGGTGCAACATATCTTTTCAGCAAAAAATGACTGCTGGTGCATTTCCTTTTAATTGAACGCCGACCAAGGCTGTATATCAGCAAACTTAAAAAATCAGTGGAACGTCATCTGTTGTCACCTTGCGTTTGTATTTTTTTTTTTATTTTTTATTTTTTTTTGCGTTAATCTAACTCAAGCCCGAGTACGGCAGACGCCCTGAAACCGTGTACTGATTCTTATGTGCAGCTCTCGCAGAGGCGTACAAGTGCTACGACAGCGACAAATTCGCCCACTGCGTTACGGGGATCATCGATGATTTTCTTCGTATTCCCTTGAATGCGTCCAAGACCCGTGTCGACGAGCTTCGCAGGTAACTTTTATGCAAAAGACTCCGTTCTTGACAGCACTTTGAAGCGGAGGCTGTCGAAGCCACTTTGGCAAGCCATCAAACCGTTTCCAGAGAGGTCGATTTTCGTTTGGAAACGGTTTAGAACAGTTATGGTTTGGAATTGTAGGCAGAACAAACGGGGAGCCCTGCGTGTTCATTTTAAATCAACACTTTCACTAGGATGACAGCACGTGTGATCACAAAACAGTCGACCCTACGGTTAATAGATTTGTGTGACTCCTCCCAAATTTTACTCGATGGCAATGGTTTAAGCGTTCAAAATCGGCGGGAAGCAAGGTTTGATCATGGCGAGAAGTTTTGGTATCGCCGCCTGGTGGAATGTTTTCACAACCGAGAGCGAGGATACGTCAACTTTCTCAGCTGGTGCAAGTACGTGCAATGCCAAGCTTCTATGCACTATGAAAATTAAAACATAACCGCGTGGGTAGCACTTGCGGTACCCATAGTGAGAAACACAGAGGCGCCCCTGGCGAGCTTCTCATGGCGAATATGAGCCTATCAGAGCAAATCTGTAGCCCGGAGCTTGTCACGTGACCTCCTAGGTGGGTGCAACGACGCACGGAGCAAAAAGTCACGGGGCGCGCGTAGAGTTCCAGATTGGCCGACGTGGCTGGTAGCGACCGTTGCACTTGCGGTACATCGTGAGGTGAAACGAAGGATCGCGATGTCGGTAAGAGTTCAATACGCGTCAGTGTGGCTCTACGGAAACAAGACACTCGCTCTATGATGCCCTAAAGGAATGCTGAAGAGTTTCAATATAGTATATATATTTTTTTTGTCTAAAAGCAGCGCCTTTTCAATGCCCTTCAACATTTTGCATTTTCTAAAGTTTTAAACAAATGTCTGCTCTCTTCACGCAAAAAAAAACAAAAAAAAAACGCGAACATGTTTATTTTGTTTTATTTTCCGGTAATATCAAAGCAGTGTTGTAAACGTTCTTCCGAAATAAGAACAGTCCTTGTTTCTAGTTTTTTTTATCAATCTTGAAACGAGTTCCTGTTACAAGTTCTGTGGTTCAAAAGGCACGAATACTCGTTCTCAGGGATGGGCAGTATTTCAAATACAAGTATTTGAAATACGTATTTCAAATACTTTGTGTATTTTGCATTTGTATTTAATTACAAATTGGGTAATGTATTTGACGTGTGTATTGAAATACTAAAAAAACGTGGGTATTTCAAATACAATTGTATTTAAATACACTTTTGTGGGTGAAAATACATACCTCAAATTTATTGTCACTGTCCAGAGCAGGAAGAAAACTACGTTCTGCACCGAATGCAGTGTCTCTCAATCAAGCAGAAGCGTTTAGTGACTTTTTTATTACGGTGCTAGTCCAGGGCAAGAATAGTGACGAAATCGACGTTCACAAGCAGACTGGCTAAATAAGTGTCTGTGACAACTTGTGATGCTTTCCAGCCTGATTTGCATCCAGATTTTTACCTGGAATGCCTAAATGCGCGGGTCGTCCAGATTTTCGTAACTGGTGCGAGTTGCAACAATAAAAAAATTATCTAGCTAGTGCTGCGCGTCTTGGTCGTCTCGGTTCTTTCTTCGTCTATACCAAAATGTAATCGACAAAAAAAGCTGCTTGAAGCTCTGTACTTTTTTTACCTATTACGTCAAGCTGATTACATTTTTTGTGTGATTATATTTCTATTACGTTACTAGAGCCGAAACTCCAGAGTGTGCGATGCAAAATTAAAATGAGATACCCAGAAACCCGTTGCAGGTGCCCTGAAGTCGCTGACGCAAATTTTGAGGAATGAATTCGGAAAAGTATTTGGAGGATACCAAATACATTTGTTTGTATTTGTATCTTGTAATTAAATGTTTTTTTTTTGTAAATGTAATTAGATTTGTAATTAAATACATTTTTGACGAAGTATATTGTATTTGTATTTCGATACATATTTGCATGTATTTTGCCCATTCCTGCTCGTTCCATTCCTAATATTGGAACGGGTACCATACAATACAATGAAATGCAATACAATACATTTTTTTTTGCAATTTCATTATTACATAAGCTTAATTCCCACACAGGCTTGTATGTGGGACGCGGCAGTAGGGTTATGGTAAAACGCAATAAACATTATTTTGGTAATATTTCATACTGTTGCCACTCTTAGCGTTACATTAGCGTATTTTAATTAAATATTCCGCTGAATAATTTCTTGCGAAAATAAAGCAAGCAAGTGAGATTATTCACATAATCGAATCGCCACAATCACATTTGCTCCAGTTCTTTTTTTTTTTTTTTTCTTGACTACTTTGGAAATGTTTCTATCACTTGAGGTCGGAGGTATAAATATATCCGCTGATAGAAAACCTGAATGCCAATTAAATTCGGTTAACGTTTAAAAAAGAAACGCCGTTCCTTCTACCGTTCCCTCGAAAACGTAACCAGCTCATGTTCCAGTTCCGAGGCAAAATGGAACAGGGACAATTCATCGCCGATATTTCTTCAAGGTCTTCTTCGGAACCACACATCTTATTTGATCAAAACAGAGTTCTTTCTTTTTTTTTTTTAGTTTTGGGCCAAGCTTATGTTTCCTTAAGGTTGCGGGAATTCCGTTCCTCCATTTTCTTCACCATAAGCACCGATTTTTTGTTTGCACCCTGAAAAGTAAGACCGAGAAACAGCAAATCTATCGTAAAAAAACAAACCTAAATCAAACAACTCCAAGTTTGATGAAAAAAATAAACCGCGAAACCTCGAAGCCCTGGTCATATATAGCGCACCTTAAAGAAGATTGAGGGCGCAGGTTAGCTGTCGAATATTGGGCAACGTAATAAAACCTGAGACACGGAAACAAAGACGGCACGTACACAACACCTTCTCGGTGTTATGTAACACCGTCCCGGTGTTGTGTACGTCCTTTTTTCTTTTCGTGTTTCCGGTTTTATTATGTTGCCTTTAAGAAGACCAGACTGTTTTTTCATATGCTTCGCTTTCTACTGATTTTCCTGCTCGCGACCAATTCATTTTTAGGAGGGTCACGGAGGCAACGAACACCTGCCTGGTGCCCAAGGGCCAGTGCCCCGCTGCAGCCAAACCTGGCAAAGACATCGGCCAGAATCTTCAAAAGGGCTTCTCCGACATCTGGAGTCAGTGGAGCGGCAACGCAGCTTCGACCGTCAGCTTCACCCTGGGAAGCCTGATGCTGGTGCTGGCACCGCTGGTCGCCCAGAAACTACTCTGAACTCATCTAAATTTGCATAATCCTAATTTAAACAATGATCTTGCTTTCACCCTCACGTATTTTGTCTGCAAATAAAGAAATTGCGTTCCCCAAGACCCCACACAGAGGAGTGTTCACCGCGAATTGATCTTTTTTTTTTTTTTTCATTAAGCCTCTTCGACAGAGAAGACCCCTTTTCCCTTACCGTTGCTTTCTGCTGTCGCCATTGTTCGATCGAGGGCTCCGACCCCGCACCAATCTCTGTGCGTATTTTGTCATTTCTGACCGTTATTTTTTTAGCATAGGTAGTGCGAGTAAAAAAGCAGGAGCAACAATGGATACAGCGGAACGATGCCAGTGTGTTCGGACGGGTGGAGGAACGCAGGGCTGCCCTCCATTTGCAGTTCGCAGACAACCCACCAGACGGCGCTTGTTACTCGAGAAAACTAGAGTAACTGCATGTGCTCGGCTTGGGAAGCAGAGTCTATATAGTTACTCTAGAGAAAACAATTTTAGAAGCTTTGACTAGGGGGCGCAAGCCGCCGCCCGATTTAAAGACGGTAGATCGGAAGGCGCAAGCGACTTCCGATCGCACCGTCTTCGCAAGCATGTTGAGCTTGCTTATGTCACCAGTACTTGAAAGCATAAACGTTACACGGACAACACATTTGGAGATTTAACGAGGGCCTTCGGCTGTACAATATTACACCTTGCAGGAGGCAAGTTGGTTTACAAGAATGCTCGAAACATTTTAACAAATTTCGACCTCTTTCGCTTTTCTTTTCTTCTTGGCGTTCACCTGGAGAGTTGGTGGTGAAACGTTTCATCTACATTTCAAGCAGCGGTGTTAACGTGGCCTTCGTTCATTTATTTTTTTTATAAACCGGAAGTTCTCTGGGACGTCAGAGACTAGAGCACCACCTGGTGGCGTTTGTCATAAAAAGAGCCTATAGTGCAGTGGGCAATCGTTGCAGGTGATGCCAGAGCTTTGCTGTCCAGCCATCTTCCCATCGTGAATTGGAGCCTCATTTTCTTTTTACTTTTATCGATTGCCTATCACTTGAAGTTTTCTATGCGCATTTCCATTGTATGTAAATTAAAGGCTTATCCAGCAATCAGAAACTGGTGCTCTCCTGAGCAAATCGGGGTTGCGCTTTCTCTCTACCTTCCACTTCGTTCCTCAGTTACATAAATTATCTCCCCAAACAAATCAAAATGCAAAAAAGAAAAAAAAAACCCAGGAAAGTAATCTTTATTGCAAGCAAGTCAAAATGAGAAAAAAAAAAGAAAGAAATAAAGCTTTTTCACTAACAAGAAGAAATGAAGATGTTTTTTGTTCTGGTGTAACGGGTTTACATCAATAAAAAAAAATATTAATTGAAATTTACTTTTTTGAAGTATACAGTAATTCTTTCTTAAGCATAGTAATGCTTAAGAAAGAATAATGCGATAGACAGCCCTACTATCCTCACCTCTGTTCACTTTCGCATTCCACTTAGAAAAAAAAAAAAACTCTAGAGATCCAAGAGTATTTTACCAGACCTCCATACGAAACGCATCACCGGTTTCGCGTGTCCAACATGTTTTTAACACGCAATTTACTGACGTCGATATTTTTAGTACAAACCTGTCTTTTGGAGAATGAGAATTTTGATGCATGTGTTTTTAATTGGCATATAGACATGCTTGTCGTTGATTGATTGATAGTTCCGAATGATCTTCCGAATGAATCAATTAGTACGTTATGTTTAAAATAGATATATTAATTTAAAAAGAAACTCTTTTCTAGCTACGCTGATTTAAATAAAATTAATCGGATTCAAATCAAGTAAGTCCTATTTCAATAAAAAAAATATTTCTTTTATTTTTTTTAAGCGTGTTTGTTGTTTTCCTCACCCGGATTTCTGCCAACTTTAGACCTGGACAGGTTATCAAGAGCACTTTTACTGCCAACACGAAATCTCGTAAAGCCTGTTGCACTTCAATACGGGGACTTTGTCGGTGGCTCTGCAATCAGAGAGCAGAACAAAAGGATAATATCGCGATATAGCTTCCAATTTAGCGCCGACAAAGCGCTCCACCGCACGGGTGAACTGATTTCTTGCCGTGCCGACGGCAGAGCCGGGTTAGTGGACTGTTTTGGTCGGCTGTTTCTGATTGGACCGATCGTGGAACCCAAGCACGCGGCGTTAGCTGTCTCCCGTTATCGTCCGATAGGCAGCATAGCCGAGACATCAAACTTTCATATCGGTGTCGAGTGGACAGCGTTGTTTTTCCTCCAAGCGCGTGTGTATATATAAACTATGCGTGAATAGGGAGTCCAACTTGCCTGACATGGAGATCTCCACAGCACTCAAGACAGCCGTCGTGCTCATCTGCGCGGTCCACGTTCAGAACGGTGGGTGTTCCAGAAGCTTTTTTTGGCAATATGTAGTTCTGTGCAGCGCTGTAAGAGGAGTCGCAAGCGCAAGCGCTTGGCTTTCGAAAGAGATTTTTTCCTCGATTGAATTTAGAGTTCAGTTTCCCCGTTCTGTAGACCAATCCCATAACCGATTTTTGCGCACTCCAAGCTTCGTCTCCTCGTCTGCAGAACAGGTTCTGGGCATGCGCGGTAGCTCTCTTCTGTGGAATAGCAGACGCCTCGCACGTCTCGGTGACTATACGGGCTAGTTGGTTAGACATTGTGATGGTTTGCGTGGGGGGATCCGTACATGGTCCGCAATTCCGATGAAGTGATCGAATTCTTGAAAACAACACAGGCCATTACAGCTCTTTCGGTGGACGTGAAAGACCTGTACTACAACACTCAACAGGAAAGAGCAATACAGGTAGTGGAAGAGGGCATCGACGCTTACGGCTCTGTAAGTTTTCAAAACCAGTGTGGAATCAACGTCAGAGATCAACCTGCTTTGTTGGAATACCGGCGTCTCGCATTTATATTTTCTAGCCTTAGCGCGCGTGTGGTTGCAAAGGACCAAAACACTCAACCTACACACACAAAATGACTATGGCGCTGAGCGCGGAGTGCCTTCATTCGAACGGTCTATTGTCTTCAAGGGACGACTTTGAACGGACGATTTTGTGGATCCACGGTATCTGCATAACTGCTTGTGGGGAAAATCACTCGTGTTAAAAAAAAAACAAAAAAACAATTGTCTGAAAAACACTGTTGCCTCTAAAACACGACCAAGCACATGGGAGCGCGAGCATTCAGTTCTCAAGGAGTTCAACTCTGCTACCTTCCAAGGAATATGACGGTATTTCAAGTTTATAAACCCTAATACCCGTAGCCTTGTTCTGTGCCTCAAACTATTATGAAACGAAGCATCGTTCTGCTCTTTACTGCGTCGGGCCTGGCGGTCGATATTTGCGACAATGAAATCGCAGGGAAATAAATAAATTTAGCAAAAGCAAAGAAATAAATGTTGATTCCGATCTTATAATTGAAGTGCGTATCATGTATGTAATTGACATGGTAACCCAGGAGCGGTGGAGAACGGAACGGACTACACAAAGCTCCAAAGCTCCATGGTAACCCAGGAGCGGTGGAAAAAGGGGACAGATAACACGAAGCTCAACAGCTTTGTGTTGTCCGTCTCGTTTTTCCCACGCTCTTGGGTTACCGTGCTAGTATTGAACGAGCTTGCCTGCACACTTGCTTTAGTATCAATAATATAATTGACGCTATATTTTGAATAGCCCCTCCTTTCTCTGGATGGCGTCGATAACCTAACATTGTTTCTAATAAAATTAAAATGTAATGTGATATATGTAATGTAATGTAACAGCAAACACTCGTTTGTTCTCTTTATCTCTTCCACTAAATTTGCTTGCTTAAAAAACAAAGACAAACAAACAAAATAACTCGACATGTGTATATACAGGGTGCTTGATTTTAAATCAAAGAGATTTATGTAAGAAAGTAGTTGCGAAAGGTTGAAAAATGCGGTCATCCAGGTGAGTTATAAGGTCAGGAGGACAAAATACAAGGCGCTAATCGTCTTAAGTCAAATAATTAATAATCATCACCTTCTGAAGTAGCGAACATAAACACATTGCTCAAGATTTGAAACATTCCGAACGTCACAGTTCTTTTACAGTAAGTTTTTAATTAAAACCATCTCTTTATCCGCACTACTTAAGGAGTTAATTGTCAAAAACTTTACTTAATAGTTCCACTTATCGTGGTTATTATCCCCCTATTTTATGTCCCCCTAGCAGTATAACTCACCTGGGGCTCTAATCTAGAAACGGCGAAAAAGTCGGCGAAAAATTCGGCGGCCATGATTGGCCGGCGCTGTGCTTGACCTTACGCTGGCCAATCACGGCGGTCGAATTCCCCGCCCACTTTTTTGCCAAGTGTCCAGATCAAAGCCCATGCACAGACTGCATTATTCTGCCTTCCGTAGCTTATTTTAAAAGTACACCTTTCCAAACTAAAATCCGACACAATATATAGGGTATTGGATGAAACGCAAGTCAACACATTCTGCGAAAAATTTGCCGCGCGAGCAGCGTCGCGAAGTTTTTGTAGCACTGCCAGTTGCCCACGCGGGAAGCGATTGTATGCACCCATGTCTGAAAAGTGTTCCAGTCGTCGTCGTACAAAGGGGATAGGGCGAGACATCATGAGATATGATATCGTTTAACCATGTTTCACCTCTCGGGATCTGTAGTTTCCACCTATTGTTCTTTCACTGCTGGCGTCCGCACTCACTATACTTGTAAGCCGCGGCGGTTTTCTTTGAAGTGCGAACATGAGCTACACTTGGAAAGGTCCACATAGATTTATGCAATTGTATATGATAGCGTGCTTCTTTGTCATATTATTTGGACAATGACAGAAATTTTTGTGACATTTACTTTTACCATAGGCAGTCAAACAACCACGTAGTGTCTAGAGCTGAATGATGTCCTGTCTGTCATCAAAATTCGAAAATATAAGGACGAATGCAATGATTCCGTTGGAGTTCAAAAAACGTTGTGTTCAGAATTCGATTAATACGTATAATCCAAAATTTATTTCAAGCAATAAAAGTATAAAGTTTTTTTTTTTCTTCTTCTTCATGTTGTTTCGCCGCGCCGTGTGTTTCAGCGCGGTGTTACAAAACAGCTGTAGACTA